CCCCAAAACCCCAAAACCCCAAAACCCCAAAACCCCATCGATGATTTTATTTATTGAAATAAAACCGAAGAAAATGAGCTACGCCTCAGATCACCTAGCATGGAAGCAGAGAGTCCAGAAAGAAAGAATGACCAGTCTTTCAGGTATTTTAGCAAAGTGAATCCCCTAATTGCTTTAGACAAGACTAAATTAATAAATATCTTCAGGGCTTCTGAAGCTGGAGCTGGGTTTTCAACCCATAATGGTCGGGTAAAACCAGCTGGCTTCGGAGGAAGTGGGTTTAACAGTACACTTAAGTGCATTGTCAAACAAGGTCAAGATGGTAATGGCCCAAGATATGAGTCTGCAAGTATTGACGAGTATGGAAGGATAATCCCAGACTCCACATATCATACAACCAATGAAGTAAACAGCAGTCCAATTGTAAAAAGATCCGTATCATTAATGAAGCTCAGAAGCTCTGCTATGAGCCCTGGTAGGGGGAACGTAAATAAGCTAATGTCAAAAATCGACCACCAAGGCCTGTACTCCAGTCCTCGATTCCCCAAGGCAAAGCCGTTCTTCGACCAAGCTTATGCTCCTAAGAGCACCATAAACTCTCCTTCCCAATCTAGAAACAAGTCTGGAAGACTCAGGCACCCCAAGCAGCCTACTGAGGAGGGCAAATCGATTACTGAGCTACCACCTCTCAAGAAGAAGAGGTTCAACGAAGAAATCCCAGATGAAGCATCCTTTAAGTCTAAGACAAAGCTTAAAAGCAAAAAGAAGTTTGACCAAAGAAGAGCAGCTACTAAGGCTCAACTGGAAACTTTGAAGCAACTAAAGAAGGGTCTATACACTGGAAATGGGTAAGACAGAGGATTTATGGGGTTCTTTAGACAAGTATGTTCATGAGTATAGGAATAATGCCAATGTCGGCCATAATCCAGCTGCTAAAATGAGAGCACAAGAGAAAACAAAGACCGAGGCTCTCCTTCCAAATCCTTCAAAGGAAGCATCAAGCAATACCCAAAATATATCAAAGAAACTTTTGCTCAAGTCTATTGAACTAATGGACGAGAAGGAAATGGGTCTCCTACAGTCTGCTCTCAACAATGTACATGAAAACACTGTTGGAGGAGAACTCAGTAGAGAAAATCTTAATACACTTAACCAGATAGATGATCAGCCTGGCGACTACTCCGAAGAAGAAACACGTAAGTACACCTAAAAGAACTAGCTTACTGTAACGCTAGTTTTATCATTCTTATAAAATGTTGCAAACTTCTTCTCCAGTCCCTTTGAAATCCAAAAATCTCTTAACAAATCCTATTCACTTTTAAATCCTTCTTGTCTCAAACTAGTCTATATCTTCGTAATATTGAGCTTTTTAATATCTAATTTATCATTTTTGGAAATTTTGGAATTTTTAGAAATTATGAAACAATACCATGCTTTAACTATATGAAAAGCTTGGCTACAAGCAAGGATTTAGTATAATAAGATAGCATATTTATTGACCTCCTTATGGGACATATGGAAATTTGACGAATCCTTTATAGTAAACGAAAGTGAGCTGGTCGATAATGTTGAAGAGTTGCCCCCACTAGCAGATAAACTTAAGTCAGAGTACTCAAAATGTTCTTCCAAATACGCTTCAGAACTCAAGTCTCAGATTGAGGAGGAGAGGAGTGAGAGAGTCAGGATCCAGCAGGAGATTGATCAACTCAAAGGTACATTAGATCAGATTCAAAATGGAGATAATTAATTAGTTTGTCCAATTAATCCAGAAATTTATGGGGTTTTGGGGTTTTGGGGTTTTGGGGTTTTGGGG